ACTATATTTGTCAGTATGTCTTCATGACAAATTCAATTCTTTTTTTTAGGTAAGTGTGCAAAGAGTTAAAAAAACCTTATAATATGGAACAAATCAAATACTCTCTTATGTGTTTTTCTCACCTGGCTAAATTTCATTAGCACAGCTAAAACACATTATTCTGCACACTTTCCTCCAAAATTTAAATGAATCAAGTAAGGCTTTATTATTACTCCTTGGTTCATTATCACCCAGGCTCAATTTGATCCAGTCACAAGTGATGGGCAGGATAAGCTAAAAAAGAAGATATGCACAAAGAAAGAAATTATGATATTGCCAGAAATGCATTAAAAATGCTTGTTGGAACACATAGAAATAAATTATGTTACAAAGAATATTATGCTTCCCAACCTGTGGATATGGCATTAAGCTCCTACTTTGTTTCCAAGTCTATTTATAGTTACTAGATTATGTGAAATCCTTATGAAATTGTTTAGTACCCATGGTTACAAAACACGTTTCACAAACTAACACAATTCTAATGCTGTGATATATCAGCAAGTTTTTTTTCTCTTTTCCTAGCAGTAGGTTTCTGGTAGAAATCCTCAGAGGTATAGATAATAAAATGCAAAAAAAATTTCCTGCTGTATTTAACATTATGGTTTCTGCATGGCTTTACTTTCAGCATGGCATTGTGGCACTTCAGGAGCATAAATAGTCTTGGCCTGCCTTGTATTCCAATGAAATGTGTAACTCTTCAGGACATGCTGTTTCTAAAGAGTTGACAGCTGAAAAGCCTTCATCTAAATCTAAACAGCACCTAAACCACATAAAACTTCCTTTTTACTGTCCTTTTCTGTTAGAAATGTAAACAGAGAGCGGCAAGAGTTGCAGCTGTAATAATTTTGGTGTTAGAGGTCCTGTGATATTTTCTTATTGTGGTAGGATTCACACATTTTTTTAATGCTTTGTTCTTTTCAACTGATGGTTCAGGAAACGTGTGAAATTGAGGCAGGGTTGCTGTGTCTTACAGGTTCTCTGTGATATAAATATAGGGCTATTCACCAAAGACTTTTACAGCTATGAATGATACCCTATGAAGGGAAGAAAGCTGGCACAACTGACATAATACAGTGAAACTAAAGCTATTTTTCACCTCTGTGATTTTTTTTCCTCCTTTTTAATGTGTTAAGCCTTTCTTTTATTTTTGTCCCTCTCCTATTTTGACACCTCTGATATGTATCTCACATACAAGAATTGTGTGGCGCTAATGAGCTGTAACAGAAAAAAAATAATATTTGCAAACTCCCTTATTTACTCTTTTGCTGTTTTCCTCTAAAGATCCCTCCATAGGGAAGCCAAGATGACACCCATATGTGCCAGTAATTAGCAGGTACAGGCTGATTGCCATCAGAAGCGGGTAATGTTTCGGCACTAATGGGCCATTACAACGAGAGGGCATTGTAGTCTCAGCAGTTCTGTAGTGCACTAATTTCATCCTGGGCATTTTCTGCTCTTCTCGCTGACAGCAGCTTGAAATACAATCGCAGCTAACCCAGGTAATCCACCTGATGGAAATCTGCTCACTAAGGAAAAACAGTGGGGAAAAGGAAGCACTTGGAGTAGCCTTAGTATTTCAGAAAGATGTTAAATCATTTAAGGCTTGTATAGTTTCTCACTCCACTCATGCTACTTGCTTGTTAAATAAAAACTTCCAGGAATCGGTTCAAATCACAGGAGAGCTACAAAACTGATGTTTGTATCCATTCCTGTGAACTGTTTATTGTATTGTTGCAATTCATCTCCTCCTTCGGATCTGTGTGTTGGCTGATCAACACAATAGTTGAAAACATATGTGAGATGTAGAATGCATGTGAAATGCCGATTGCTCAAAGTAGATTTTGGAAGGGGGGGGGAAGTAAATAATTCTTATGGAGCTTTATTTGCAGAACACAGATCAGAGCTGCATTTTATCATTCTCTCATAAGCAGTACACAGGGATTGGTAGGTGCAGTGGTTTTACTTTTCAGAGGAAAAAAGCAAAAATTCTGTTCTGTTCTGTGCTGCCATTAGTGACTGGGAGACTGAAGTAAGCAGAGGATCATTGCTGGTTCTGGGTCTGGCTTGGCTGTTTTCAGAGCCTGCCAGATGCTGAGCCTCACCTGCAGCAGCAGCAGCTCCTCCTCCACCTTGTAGCCTGGGGCTTGGACCCAGGAGAGTTATTCTGCAGGGGCTTGTGCAGAGCACCTTCCCATCAGGGGATGACTAAACAATGTGAGTTGCTTAGGAAGGCAGAGACTGTTTATGTCCTGCAAAACACATTATACTTGGGATTAAGAGAATTTTTCCTGACTCTTTTTAGCCTGCCTCCAAAGCTTAAACAAACTTGGCATACGTAGTTGGACCATGGAAAGTCTGCCTGTGGGAGGAAGATATCAGATATCTTGAGATACAGGATGCCAACAGCTGTGAGCCTCACTCTTCATTTTATTTCTGCCTCGGGAACAGGCCGTGCAAGCAGACCAAAAGTTGGCAGTGTGGAATGACTAAGCAGAAAACAGGCAGCTGCTCAGAAAGTGAAAGTGGGGATGTCCAAATTACTGTGTGGCTGCACTGCATTCCTCACCTGGCCGCGGAGGAGCTCTAACACGAGATACCTGATGCCATGATCGAGGAATTAGCACCCACTAAGGGTGGCAAGGGATCTGTGGCCAGGGTGTGGTGGGCAGGAGGGGCTGGCTCCCTCCCCTCTTCCTCAGTTGTAATTGCTCTTTGTTACCTCCTCCTTAAGGACCGTTTCTTCTTGAACTCCAAGTTATCCAAATCTGGAATGTGTTTGTGCAAATGCTTAGGATCTGTAAATCCAGGACCGAACTAAGGTGACAGTATTTGTGATCTGAGCCTCAGAATAGTGTAGACAATCTGATCGCAGCATCTGCTGTGTGAGATAATTGGTGTGTCTTGGCTGTGTGTCTGGTGTTAGGCTGAGCAGAAAGATGAACACACTGTGCAGATTAAGGTTAAGCCAAGAACAACATTTCTGTGAATGTCGCTGGAAGTGAGTTCGTTTCACAGCATGGTCTTGCAAATGTGATGTCTCCCCATGAACCATTTGCTAGCTTTCTTCCAGATACTCTGGAGGTCCACATAGTTTTGTTTCTTTTGTGATTTATGAGGAAAAATATCTGTCACTCTGTTTACAGCCTCTAGACACTATTCTAAATGTCACCATCATCTGAACCATGTGAGATCACCCCCACTGTGTACTTACATGGCCAGACTCTCTTAGAAAGCATTATTGGATCTGTATGCCTAAAATTTGGCACCACAAGTGTGAATAAACCTATACCTACAATCACAGAGCTGTAGAAGGAACAGCAGGAAAAACAGATACTCAAGAAAACAGATATTTCATTGGAAGAGAAGTGAACAATGTCCACTTTGAACATGAGGTATTTGATTTATAGTGATTTATGGTTTAAAATCCATGTGCTTTCACTGCTTCTTGCAGGTGAAAATAAGTCATTGATGTGAAAGGCCTATCTGTGGGCTCTCAGCTGTGCTATTAGAACAGCAGCAGTGTCTATGTTCATGTGCAAAAGTGATCACAGGAAACATCTCTTTAATTGTAAGAGTTTTTTTGATGTCACTTCCTCTTTTGTGAATTGTGGCTGACCGTGTCCAGACACTCGTGAAAGCCAGTACACTTTCAAGCAATTTTACCAGAATTTTGAAGCCAAACATATTGGAGGCTCAGTTGACTTCATTTTGCCTTGGCACAAACACTGAGATAACTGTGATTAGAACTGAACATTTTAGTTTCAGATTTCCCTGTTCTGCAGAAGGAAGAACACCTATCTTACTGTGATGTTAGCAATTCTTAAAATCATTCTAGAGATGTTTGTGCTCAGATGTAATTTCTTCTGTGGTAACTGAGTTTTTGTGAATTACTTGCAAACCTCTCTGAAGCTCTTGAACCTCTTTTCTTATTTTCTGGAGGGGTTATTCTTCCTCCTTCTTTCTCTTCTTTCTCTTTTTATCTTTTATGGTTCTCCTGCCAAAGGGAAGTTCATTTTAAAGTCACATTTTTCAGCCATGTACTGAGGAGGATGAATCCTAAAATACTGACTAGTTTTAATTCACTCTCCACATTTTTACAGGGATCACTGCAAAGCCTGTGTACGGCAAAGGAGACTTTGCATCAGCTCTAACAGATTTCAGCTTGAGAAAACATTGCATTTTCCAGTGAAATGCTGTGTCTCCATCCTCTTTTTTTTTCCTCGCTCTTCGGTCTTTAAATTTATTTTTTTAAAGGTTTTGTTTTGTTTTGTTTTTGTTGTTGTTTTTTTAATCTGGATGCTCTCTGCTTCACTTTTCTCCCTATTTTGTTTTTTCCTAAGTGGGAAATTTGGGATTTGATCCCAGTAGAGAGGAGGTTCAAGATGATATTTTAGGAGCAGAATATGGCTGAGCTGCTCATTAGCTACAGTGAGTACATTCATCTCTTATTAAATATTCCCATATTCAAAGTGAAAATGTTAGTTTCACTTTAGAAGATGCCGTTCACACTTATGTAACTTCATTGTCTAATAAGGAAAAAAAAAAAAGACCTGGAAACTCGCTTTTTCATACTTGACAGTATGAGAAGCAGCTTCACACTGTAAATCATACTGCATAATACTGCAATTTCACACTATAAATCTGTAAATCATAAATTATAAATAGAGCCTATAGCTACATGCCTGTGTGCCGTGATCACATTTTTCTAAGTTTTTCCTATAGTAGTTTAAGTCTTCTTTTAGAGTTTCTCCTACTGGCACTGCAGGCTGGTGATTTGGTAGAAGGCTCTCTTCTTTCTGGTGTAAACAGTGAGGTGCCACAGCTCAGGGGCCAAAGCAGAGCTGTGCAAGTGAGCTGTGCTCACAGGAGGTGGAACAGTGGTCTGTGGATGCTGATCTTGGCCTGTAAGCCTTGCAGGGTTCACTCAGTTGCTTAATTTTCTGCCTTTTGCAGGATTTTCAGTTTGAGGACTGTGCAGGCCATACCACCACGTGGCCATACTCACCTCACTGAAGTCTTGAAGCCTCTGTGTGCAGCGGAGCGTGATCTTCAATACCCTCAGCAAACTGTGTGAGCTCCTCCCAGAGCAGAAGTGATTTGCTTTCCAGACATGAAAATGCAAGGTTAGTAGTGGCAGAACAGGAGAACTATGAAAAAGTACCAACAATGCAGGTGCACAGCAATAAAACCTGAGCAAATAGACAGGGTTTTATTTCAGTTCTGATGGCACTGTTCATTTCTCTTCACCTGCCACAATACACTAAGGACATATATCTCTTACTAATCTTTAACCACATATAATTAAGGTTAGATTGGGTTCATCATTGATATAAACAAATCAAGCTCACTGTCACAGTGAATATAGTGAAGGTGCCAAAACTTCTATGGGCTAGAATCCATACTGGGAGAGTTGTGGAAAGTAATGGTAATGGATTATGACTAAGAGCAATTAACAGTAAGACAATTCCCTATATCATGAGTGTCTCACATGAAATCACTAGGTGAAATTAAGTTTACTTTGAAATAAGCAGGAGGAATTGTTTTGGCTTTAATGGTAGTGCACTTCACCACTTAATTTCTACAGCATTTGAAATCAAAAGAGAAGACAAAGAATAAGAAGTTTTTCCTATTTTGTTTACTAAAGCTGTCCCTCAGACATCACTGACCAGCAGGTATCTCTTGGAAGGACAGTGGATGCAGGTGCACTGCAGGTTTGTGCCTCAGTCTTTAGTGCTCTCTGCAAACAGTGGTTTAATTTTCTCCAAGTTCACATCTTTTTCTGCAAATGCACTCTTTTCTTTTTGAAGCTTGTTGCAGTAAGAAGGCTTCACTTCAATTATAGTGAGCTATGATGTAGTTCCTAATGAATGTGAAAGGCATCAACATATCAGACACAGAGGCTGCCTGTAAAAAGCCAGGCAAGTGTCAAACAGGTCCCTCTTTAAGACTTCAGGAGATTATATGGTGCTGTAGAAGCCCACTGTGCAATTACTTCGCTTTCATTGTCACAGATGGCTACTGAAATCATTCTGTCTGATAGTGTTTGATGAAGCATTTAACATTTTGAATCACAGTAGTCTAATACAACTCAGAATGAATCTTGAATATTTTAACTGGATTAAATGTCTGAGAATTTTTCTGTCTCAATGTGCCACGTTTTTCTACTTTAAGAAAACCTCAGGCATTTAAAGTTATAGTATTAAAAATGCTGTTTGCTTCTGAAGATGCTATAGAATGATGAAAAGAATCCCACCTTTCCTTGGTAGCTTTGGTTGTTCCTTTCTCATCATAAAGTATGTATTAGCTCTTTCAGACAGCTGAACAGTCCCATTGTCCTGGGCACAGAATAGAATAAAATCACTGGCAATCACTTTACCATTGTGTTTGGAGATTAAAGGACAGGACCTGACAAATGAAGCAGACCTTGAATCAGAAGAAGAGGTAGTAGCATCAGATAATGCAGCTAAACAGTATGTCTAGCACAGATTAGCTCTGAATGAATTCTTGGCCAGTCATTCCTCTGGCAACCTATTTGCCAAGGAAAGGTCTTGATTTATCTTGCAGGTAGTATTGATCTTTATTTCTAGTTCTGAATAGTATTATTTTGTATTCAGTTTTAATTAATATTCGTCATGGTCTTGTAAGCTTCCAGGAATGCTCAAGGAGCATATGCAGTGCTTATAATCCAGAAAATTACCTGGATGCTTATTTCTGTGGTTTTTCTCCTTACTCCCATCCTGCCACCTGAATAACCTCCTCCTGGCAGCACATATTTTTATCAGTTTTCTAATGTTAAAAGCAGTGTGCAAGGATTTATGGGAAGGTCTTGGGATGACTCAACTCTTGGCTGCTGTCTCGGCAGCAGAAGGCTGTGGTTTCCATTTCCACCTCATGTACTAGGCTCACACCCAACGCTTGGCACTGCCTTTTGGTGACAGGGGGTGTTTCGCTGAGGAAGATGTCATCCTGAGCATGACATGATGAACTCAGAGCTATTGTTCCTCCATCTGGAAATGGAAACCCCAAGGAATATTTCAGACAGTGCAGGAGCTTAGCTTAGGGCATGGCCAAACGTTCCCAAAATCATTGCTGTGGCAATTCATATGTGAGATGTTCAGTACATGAGAACCCTGTTTCTGCCTGAAGAGTTTTTGCAGCATCACTGTCTATATTGTTTCCATCGGTGCACAGCATCTGTTGTGCCATTTGTAAAACACTCAGATTTCTATTAGCACAGCAGATATTTTTCTTCTCTTCAAGTGGCAGGAGCTGGAACAAGTCAGCTTTGCTGCTGCTTCTTCCCACCTCTGCAGAGGTGTATCCTTCCTCTTGCTGTAGGGAGAAAGTCACTTGTGGCAGTCAGTGTGTGGCACCACTGGAGCACTGAACTGTGTCTGCCAATGGAAATACTACAGCTGATTCCATATTTTTTGGTGACAAGGAGACAGAAATTCTTTAATTATGGTCAATGATGGAGGCTGGAACAAGGGGCCAATATTGACAGTTTATTGTCTTTAGTAAAGGAGATTGATGTACCTAGGGAAAATGGAACATTTTTGGCTCATTATGATATTCTGCTTTCAATCTGAATTAAAAAAATATTTACCTTTCTGTTATCTGTGTCTGACTCCCTGTTACCCCAGATTTTCTGCACTACTCTATAACCTTATATTTCTGCTTGTTTCCTTCTTCCCCTCGTCAGAGAAAGAAAGAAGGAAAGAAAGAAATCTTTCAAGTACTTTTTCCCTTTTCCTTTGGTTTGAAAAACATGGAAAATGCTTGTGTAAGAACTGTGATAATAGCCAAAGACCAGACTACAGCCCTGTGTTTTCATGCTTTTCCAGGGAAGATGGTGATGATTATGAACTGATCCAGTCACAGCCCATTAACGAGCTTGTTCTCACACAGAGACCTGATAGCAGATTTCAGACAGATTTGGGGTTAGACACACACAAAGAAAATGCTTCTGTTTGTTCTATTCTCTTTAGGCTGGATGCCACAATGTGAAGCACCAGCCTCGCTGCTCTCAGTGGTGAATTTGCCTCCCTTCACCACAAATCTAATCTTAAAGAGCAATTAAAAATGCATTATAAAAGCATCTTATGATGTCCTGTTTTCCCTAGGCAGGGGATACCAGGATCCTACCAAGGATACCATCATGTTCTAAAGCCCTGATACTCACAAACCTCTCTGTGGTCACTTTGGAGAGCTGAATGTTCCTCTCTGTCTGAGCTCAGAAATAACTCTTGATGGAATTTGGTAGAAAAATTGTTCTGAAAAGAATTTAAAGGCGAGAATAAATATATTGCTTGGTACCATGACAAATACCTAGCATCTTTGAGGTGGTATGAATGCGCAAGTAAATTGGTTTGCAATTCTCATGACACAAAAGTAAGTTGAAAACTGTAAATAAAATTTGTCTTGCAGATCACAGAAATAAGAGAGCATACAAGAGAGTCTGATATGTGAACAAAGTTGCTTATAAAATAGACTCCTCTCATGGAATTTAAGCAGTTTTTTTCTTTAACAAAAAAATATGGCAGTTAGATGCTCTGCCAAAGTTTTAGCGGCTTAAAACTCCAAGATCTCTACAGAAATCTGGAAAGGAGCCATTTTGGAACATGATTTTTATCAACAGGGATTAGAAGGAATGATCAAAACAAATCTGAAGTTTTAATAAACAATCAAGTTTCCATCTTCACTGCTTAGATTCCTATTTCCCTCTTATGGAGGTAGTACTAAATTGCAGGTAGCAGGTGGGATTCTGGTTCTTCATGAGACTTTAATATCACTTCAGATATATATTTATAATTTATAGCAGGTCTCATGAATTCAAATGAGACATCACAGTCCACAGATAAAACTGCAATAACAGTTATACAGATTTTAGAAAATAGCCAACCCCAGGTGTTGACTCATGAATATTTATACACATCAGTCATCAAGGAAGGAAAATACAATTTGGACCCCATCCTATTCCAAAAAAAAAATAGATAAAAAGCCACCCAATACTAGAAACACTCATTTAAAAGACACCTGAGAAAAAAACCAACAATTTTTCCCCATTTCCATGTGTATCCCCAAAAATAGGGTGAGGGAGAGAGATCATAAAATGAAAATATGTTTTTTCTTTTTTTACTTGTTGAGATGGTGGTTATTTTTCCTCAGTTTGGAATATATTCTTATCTAAATGCATGTTAGCAAAGCTATTTTTCTCATACAAATTTTTTTAATTGTGTAACAATGTTTGAGTTGAAGCATATATTCTTTGCATGATAAATTTCATGAATAAAAGCAATCTCTGTGACACCTGTGAAAGGCAATACATACATAAAAACAATTTCAAGTCAGTAAAGATCTTATTTATACAGCTGGAATACAGCCAAAGAGTTTTTCTCACGTAAAAAAAACATTCATTCAAATTGGGAAAGTTTCTATTCCAAAAAATTCTATTTAGAGTGTCGTAGGGAAGAAAAACCAAAAAAACAAGTCTGGAACAGAAATGAGATAAATACAAATACCTGGTAACATATGAGCTGTAGGTCAGATTCTGACTTTATTTGCCTTTGTACATACTTGAATATTTCCATTAAGTTACCTTGTAAAAGATGTATTTCATGGCACTGAGACCAGGATCATGCACATGAATGCCTGACAGAGCAGAAGAGATGGTTTGACAGATCAGGAAAATAGGACCAAACCTAGACTTTATATATATATAAAGCTTAGATTTTCACTCTTCCCTCAATTCTATGTTTTCCTTCTGAAAACAAAACTCCATGATCCAGGGAGACAGTCAAAAAGGAAGAGAAAATGCTTGTGGCAATAAAAATAATGTAAATAAATGTTCAGGAAACAGGATCAGTTGTTCAGAAAGATCCAAATCTGTTCTTTTTTACCTAGTGACCATGGATGATGGGGGAAGTCGTGCATTCTGTTCCATTTCCCAGGAGTCTGACATTGTCCTGCACTGGCAGGTAAGGTTTTACCTCATGACAATCAGCCTGGGAAGTCTTCACTGTGTTCCAGGCTGAAGAATTTTACTGAATTTCAGGGTAGTGTATACAAAGTACTGTATACAGTAGTCAGTAAGAGTAAAAAACAGTAGGTTCTCATCTGTTTATTTCAACATGACAGTTCTCTGGCACTGGAGAACAAAAAAAAGTTGATTTCATGAGGTGAGAGGAGTAGAGCTGTGCACTCAGAACTCTTTATGTGTTCAGTAGCTTTTAGCTTTCTAATTTGTGTCAACTTCCAAATCTGGCTACAGTTCCAGAAACAATATTACTTGAATAAAACACATAAATAGTTTTTTGTAAATATGGCAGAAGTAATATCTCAGTTCACAGTGTCTTGTCTTGAACACTTAACATATGAGAGTTCTTTAATAGCCTTTACGTATTTGTGATGAAGACTATGAATCCCAGAAGATTTACAGAAAACACTTAAGGATGTTATTCCATTAGTGTTCATTTTAAAATATTTCACACTTAATTAGGTAACAGAAACAATGTCTGATTTTGTCAGTTTAAATTTTAAGCTGGGTATAGTCACAGTGAAAAACTAATGCTTTGATGGAAAAAGAATTATCTTGGGAATTATTTGTCATACACAATAGGACCAAAAACAATTGTTAAAGTTTTGATTTAAAGGAAATACAAGAGGACATAAATAAAAATTCTTTCATGTGCAGGATCAAATGAGAATGTTAAGTAGGCTGCCCATCTGACTACCTTGTAGGCAATTTTGTAATTTTTTTCATTTATTTTCATTACCTATAATCTTTTTAACACAGAATAAAGTTCTTTTGCTGAGCATAGTGTTGCATGGGAAGGGGGAAATGTGCAAGTGCTACATGACAAATGTCATTACTTTATTCACTGCAGCTGTGTAAGGAAGGGCAACCAGTTTTCCTCATGTGGTGTCCAGACTAAAAATCAGGTACAGGTGACTCGACATCGATCCCACACTTGAGAAGGGATTGATATCAGTGGGAACAAGTGGCATAGAGGAGTAGAGGAATTAGGTTGTCTGCTTGTATCCTAAGACCATGAGGGATCCTCATCTGTCTCTGGATATCAAGGTTAAAAAGAAAGCAGGCAATGGCAAGCACTATGGGGCGTCTTTACATCTCTAGCGAATGTATTTTGTATCTGCTTAGTCACTGTGACTGCTAACAGAAAGTCTGCAGTATCTAGGGAAACAGCTTAGTGCATATTAATTTCTTGGAATTGCCCAAATTAAAATAGAAAGTACAGTCAGCTTTCTATGGACTCAAACAATTAAGGGAAATTTAAATAGATTAAACACATCTGCCTGTACTTAAGCAGAAAAGGGATTAGGAATTAAATGTAACAACATAACCCTTGTTCAGCTATATGTCAGGCACAGTTTGGAGCTCTGTGTTCCGTAATGATTAAAATTCATAGAAGTATTGCTAAGAGAGGGAAGACATTTTAATTCATATCTTCTAATTAATTAACAACTAAATCTGACATAAAGACAGCATAAGAGAAGGAAAGGCTCTGAGTCATCTGATACCCTGGCGCTTTGTTGCCATAAGGAACACCATCTTCAGTTACAGTTTCATGACTCTGCACTGCTCCAGCTGAGAATTCACAGTGCACAAGGCTTGTATGGAACCTAGTGAAACTTGGTTCCCAAAATGAAATGGGGATGACAGGATGCGTACCACACTCAGATGAGCGACTCAGATGTAAAATAGTGCTTCAGAGAGACCACAATGTTCTCTGTGAAAATCTATTTGAAATGTACCAGCAGTACATTTAATCAAAACAGTGGTGCTGGAGGCTGCCGTGTGCTCTGGCCACAGAGCAGCGATGCACTAATGAGGACAAGCTCTGCACTGTCCCCAGCAATGTGCTTGAACTCTGACACTCAACTGGAACCAAGTGGATCTGGAAAAAATTTCTTTGCATCAGCGGCAAAACTGTGTTTGAGGGAACATTGGTGAGGGCAGGACTGCAATGTGGGTGTTTCATGACTTTAGTCTGTATTGTTGAGGTTAGAAAGCACGGTGTGATTTGGAGATGAGAAATCAAAGTATTAGCAAGCTGAGGGAGAAATCCCAGTATTTTTTTACTCTATTAGTAAACCTGGCAGCGTTTAAATTGTCAACAGGAATGACATTATATCTATAATATAAGTATAACTGATCGTGAGTGGGAAGCAGGTGGCACGCAGACAATTCATCCCTAGTCAGCCCCGTTGCTCCTGGCCCAGACAGGAGTGTCCCGCTGGCTTCTCCCGCAGCTCCTCACAGCGCCTCTTCCAGCCCGGAGCGGCCCCGGCATCGCCCGGCCTCCCAGAACAACAACCTGCGGGGGCCAGCAGGTGCAGGCTGCTGCTCCGGGCGGAGATTGCGGTGGCCGAGGTGATGGATGGATGGATGGATGGACGGACGGACGGACGGATGGACGGGTGTCAGGAGAAGCG